GGGGATTTGGGGAGGGAGCCAATGGGGGGAGGAGGGGGCGGAGTCGGGGCAGGGGGGGCGCGAGCACTTCTGGGCTCCGGAGAATTTCCTTGTTTGTCCAGTGTCCCGACCGCACATTGGTCGGGACGCGGGACAAACAAGGAAATATCGGGACAGTCCCGATAAAATCAGGACGTCTGGTCACCCTACGCAGCGGAGCTCCGGGTCCTTTAAATCGCTGATGGAGCCCTGCCGCTGCTATCTGGGGCTCTGGCAGCTGGGCTCGGGCAGCGCTTTAAAGGGCCGGGGCTCCCTGCAGTGGCAGGAGCCCCGCGCTCTTTAAAGTGCTGCCTGAGCCCCGGGGTAGGCGGCTGGGCTGGGGCGGCACTTTAAAGGTAAAAGTCCCGGGGCCTGGGAGGCGATTTAAAGGGTCTAGGGCTCCAGCCGCTGCAGGGAGCCCTGGGCCCTTTAAAGCGCCAGCCTGGGGAAGCTGGTTTGGTCCAGTACGCCGGACTGGACCGGCTTACTTTCACCTCTGCATGAGGATCATGCTAGGCCTGATTTTGAGACCAACTTGGTCTGCAGTTTTATTCCCACAAAATTACAAGTGAAAACAATTGCAAATGCAAAATGACACCCCAGATTATTTGTGCTTGCAGCATTCCACTCACAAAAATATGGATGCCACTTTTTTAAAGATGTGTCACTTTTTCCTAAATGTAGTCTGAACTGTTCTGCTTACTCTTTATAATGACTACTTCTACATCACTGCTCAAAGGATAATTTCCAAAATGTGTTTTTTTTTAATTGTAGCTGAGGACATAAAACTGAATAGTACTGTTTTTCACTGGCCGGAACAGATTGAGATAATCTTTGAAAATAGCAGAGCCCAGTTGTTTAGCAGGAGAGATCATGCAGAGGTTTCTCTGGTTAAAAGGTATGCTATTAAACTAGAACATATCCTTGAACTAGGTGTTTAAACTTAATTAAGCAAGTGAAATGAAAAGGCTTGGGACCAACAAAAAGGGAGGTATTGTCAAGTCAATGGAACTGCTAGTGGGAGGAAAATCTGTCTTCTAGTACAGTGGGGTTTTAAACCATGTTTCAGAAAAATATCACTAAGCAGGATGGGCTAGATTTCCCCCCCCTATCCCTGAATAGGTCTAAAAGGATGGAAGGAAGGATGGTGCTAGGATTTTCATAATTTCATCCCATTATTCCTCATTACACCCCCATATACTATGCTAAAATCTTATGTTCTCTCCTTGTTGTTTGTACCTTTCACACATCTGTAAAAGGCAGCAAGGACTAGTCAACTGAGCATGGGACTACGTTTTAAAATGAGTCCTGAGTTCTAATACGGTCTCTAGCACTAATTTACTGCATGGATATGGGCAAATTAATTAACTTTTGTGTCTCAGTTTCCTCATCTGTGAAATGGGAACCTCAGGGCTGTTGTAAGGATTAATTAAATAATTAATTAATGTGTGTTTGCAGGGGCATCTTTACTTACAAATCCTAAATGTTGAGGTTAGATTTCACTTGATGATGCTCTTTGTAATTTAAAAAATAACCAAAAGCCTGAAAAATGTAATATTACTGAGCTGTCTTTGACTCTAATTAGGTGCGCCCAGTTTGACGCATTACTTGAAAGTTATTTCAAAGAAGTAGAAAGTTACAAGAAACGGGATGTCATGACCATGGACGAAATGAAGAATAATGTTGAGAAATTTAATGAGTTGGTTAAGAATCTGGATAATGCACTAGTGGAATTCGAGGCAAGTAATTATCACCTGGCTTAAGTGAAAAGTTTATTTGTAATGTGTGTTAGGTAAGATAGGTGCTTAGGTTCATTTCCTGTTTTTTCACAGTTATGGGCACATATATCTATTGCCAATATCCTGCCATTTCCATTACTATTGTTGTTTGCTAAAGTTGGTTTGAAAAACTGGACACCCGACAAAAAAATTCACCAGAAATTAATTTCTTTTGTTTTTTTTTGTCAAAATTTTGAATTTGAATTTTTTTCTATACCTGCATCATCCTCTCTGCTCACAAATCTGGGTCCTTGTGAAGACAGGGTTCCTCAATGTCTAGGAATAGGGGGAGAAACATGTGCAGAGATGGCTCTTATCTCTGAACATGGCCTCTAAAGGTCAGGGCTGGGACTCAAAAGTTCTAGGTTCAGTTTCTGGCTCTGCCACAGACTTCCTGTGTGACCTTGGGTAAGGCATTTAATCTCCTTGTGCTTCAGTTCCCCCATCTATAAAATGGAGATAACAGTACTTATTTTCTCCCAGCCTTTCTCTCTCTTGTTTATGTTGATTGTAAGCTCTTTGGGGCAAGTTTATGGTCTCTTACTATGTACATGTACAGCACCCACCATCTGGTCTTGCTTGGAGACTTTGAGTGCTATTGTAATGCAAATTAATGAAAATAATAATCATAACGGATAAAATTTACCAACATGCTTAAGTGACATAGGGTCCTAAGTATGCATGTCACTTCTGAAAATGGGAGTTAGGCTCCCGTCTCTCATTGAAAGCCAATGATACTTGGGATCCTAAATGTCTACGTCATTTTTGAAAATGGGATTTAAAGTCAGATTTTTCAAATGTATTTAGGCACCTAAAGATGCTGATAGTTGCCTAATGGGATTTTCAAAAGTCCCTTGGTGCCTAACTCCCTTTAGGTATCTAAATACCTTTAAATATCTGACACTTAAGCCCTATTGAAAATGTTACTCAGTGTTCCATAATAGGATTCTTACATAACAATTGGACTTCTTAATGGACATTTTTTTTCCTTAAAGGCTATTAATAAAGAAGAGGAGTTACTTGAGCGGGAGAAGAGCCAGTTTCCTCTACTGCAAACTATAATTGTAAATAAACAACCCTTTGAGCAACTTTGGGTAACAGCTTACAATTTCCATACTAAGTCTGAGGAATGGATGAATGGTGAGGACAAGAGCTGGATGAAATATTTCTCACAAAAAGTTTATATGATGAAATTTACCATATTTGAGTTGTCTGAACTTCTGTAGAATTCTATAGAATTACAGCCAGCGATGTCTTGAGAAGTAGTTGGGACCAAGTCCTCAAGTTCCTGAGATTGAATCTGTTTGTGATACTGATTTGCTGTGTGGTCTAGGCAAGTCACTTAATTGCTCTGTATCTCCATGTCCCTATCTATAAAACGAGAATGCTATTATTTACTTACTGAGCTCATGCAGATATTGCAAAGATTAATTAGTGGCTGTGTATAAAACATTTTGAAGAGGTAAAGCACTGTATATAAGTGCCAAGTATAATTGTGGGCCTGGACCTGGTGTTATTTTAAGGTAGTTTTCAGGAATTTAATTTGTTTGCAAATTTTCCTTAAAGGAGAATGATAACAAATGCCTATAAATTAATCTTTTTAGTAATAACTTGGCACTGAGATCTTCTTGCTGCTCTTTTCTAATTATACATGCAGGATCTCTCCAGGACTTGAATTCTGAAGAAATTACTGAGGAAATTGGAAATATGTGGAGGACAATGTATAAATTAACTAAGACTTTTGCAGACCTGCCTGGACCTAGACGCTTAGCAGAAAATGTGAAATTTAAACTTGACAAGTTTAAGCAGCATATTCCCATCCTGTCTATTGCCTGCAATCGTGGAATGAAGGACAGACATTGGGAGCAGGTGCCATAGAAATACATTTTAAACAATGAAAACATTCTACCACAATAAGGAAATCCACTCAAAATTTACCACATGATGGTCTAATATTGAAATCCTTAAGGGTGCAGGCAAAACTCCCTGTCACAAAGTGGGAGTTTGGCCTGCGGGTAAAACTACAGAACTGGGGGAAATTATGTTGGTATTTCTTTAATTTTTATATCTTACCAGCTACTTGATAAACCTTGGTTACAAATTTATGTGATGACGGTGCTTATTTTTTCATGTATTTTCAGATCAGTGAAATAGTAGGGTATGAAATAAGACCTGATGAAACTACTTGCCTTCTAAACATGTTGGAATATGGATTATCAAAGTACATTGAAAAGTAAGAAATACATCCTAAATCTAAGTCCTTAAAAGCAACCAATATATTTTATATGCTTTCATAATCAGATACCAAATTCTAGTGCATTGAAGCTTATTGGATTATTAATTATTATTATTATTTTAGAATTTACAAGGCCTTTCAAATTTTCACTGCTGAACTTTATCCACTAAGGATGGCACTTTCAAAAGTGTATAAAGAGCACAAGCCCCACTGAAAAACAATGGGATTTATGTATTTAAATTACTTAACTTCACTTCCCAACCCCCACCCAATTTCTACAAAGCTTTAATTTACAACCAAGCAGCAGCATTATATCATCGTGATTATCGGCAATAACTTGATTAGTTTGAAAATATAAATAAAAAATCCTTGAAATATATGCATATGCACTGTAGAGGAACAGCAGATGGAGCAGTGATTTGGAATGGTCAGAAAACTTCTAGGCTATGAGTGAATTATGCAGGTAATCCCTAAGAAGAGACAATAAAACATTCACCACACTGTCATGTATTTGTCTTTGCCATATATTTTACAGTAAAACTGTTTTAGACAAATTTAAAACATATATTTGGTACTATTTTTTATTACATTCTGTAGCTCTGAAGTCAGGTACCTTGATACCCAGTATCCATCTTTCAGGAATTATGGGCCTGTTTTCTAGAATGATAAGCATGCAGTTACCAAAATTGGGTATATGCTTAATTTAACTTAGATTGTAGGCTCTTTTTGGGCAGGGACTGTGTTTGTGTTTGTATAACCCCTAGCACAATGGGATCCTGATCTTTAGGCACTACCATAATATATATGATATGTTTTATTATGAATTAAGAAATATATGTGAAACATGCATTTAACTGACCACTTTTGTATGCAAATATTGGGCTGTAATGCACAGACACTTCAATGTGAAAGTCTGTAATTTTTCTCACGTTTTCTCACCTAATTGCCTTTTTCCTTCCTGCATTGGAAGATTACTCTCATTCATTCATTCTCCTGCTTGTGGAGTGTAGAGTACACACTTTGTAACCCCCGTCTCCAGAGAGCCCAGTTTCCTGCCAATGTTGCAGCTTTGTGTTAAGGCTGAGGCAGGTGAGGTCAGAAGCCATGACATCCCTCCAGTGTTTCGGCAAAGCCGTCCACAATGTCTTCCCCTTCCAGCTTGTGTTGGATCAAACACATATGGCATATGGATCAGATAGCCAAGCTATCTGAGCCATTATTGAATCACTTGGGATTGGAAGACACTAGAGGCTGGTTGGTCTGGTGCCTGACATCCTCATTCGTAGTGTGATAAAACTATCATATGCCTTCAATACGTAATTGCTATTTCATGTTGAAAGCATCCAGCTGGTGCATTGCGATTCTCTGTGATGGCCCAGGTTTCAGAGCCATACAAAAAACCAAAAGCCATTGCTGCTTTACAGATCTGCATCTTAATACATAATACATTCCTGGCATACCCCTTACAAACTCAGACCTCAGTGGTTCAGGAGTAAAGTTAGCGATCAACATTACCCAAAAGAGCCACAGGAGTGTGAATTCATTGTTTCATTCACAGCAAAATGATTGACCAAGCATTATTTTATCAATAATTGGTTAATAACATACACTTGGTTAATAACATAGTAAAAGCATCCTGATTGGTTAATAACTTAGATTAATTAATAATTAAATCACAAAGTGTTTAATATCATGTGCTGCAAAGAGCCACCGGAGACACATTAATGAGCCACTTGTAGTTCATGAGTTTCAGTCTGAGTATCACTGCTCTAAATGATATTTATTTATTCAAAATCTTTTCCTTTTCCTCTTTAGAGTGTTGAGGTTTTTTTGCAATGTAGCTAAACCAGATTTCATTTTAATCTAGACTAGAGCCTATTGGAGCAGCAGCCAGTAAAGAATATTCCCTAGAGAAATCCATGGACAAAATGAAATCGGAATGGGCCAATATAAGCTTCAATTTTGTGAAGTACAGGGACACTGTGAGTATACATCAAACTAACAAATGTGTTGTTACGGAGAATGGGTCTGAGTCTGCCTCACACTGATTCAGCAAAATAGTGGAATTATTCCTGATTTACAGTGGTATAACTAACTAAGAGGAGGAGAATCAGGCCCAACAGACCATGTGACGTTACCAGACTATCTATTTTAGGTACTTATATGACCTCCAATATCGTAGTATCTGAGCATTTCATAGTCTTTGGCATATTTATCCTCACAGAATCCTTAGGAGGTAGGGAAGTGGTGTTATCCCTATTTTACAGATGGGGAACTGAGGCAAAGAAAGATTAAGTGACTTGCTCAAGGATGCAAAGGAAGTCTGTGGTAGAGCAGGGAACTGAATCCGACTCTCTCCGAGTCCCAGGCTAGCACCCCAACCACTGGACCATCCTTCTTTCCCAACTAAGATAGAGTCTCCATGGACATTTTGGAAATGGGGGCATACAGCAGAGATACATTCCCATCTCTTCTGATATGTTACAGGCGCTCATTTGCTTCCATCCACACCTTAGAGAGACAGGGAATTACAGGCTAAATTTTTAGGAGTAAAATAGTTTAAGATCAATGAATCAGAACAACTGTCATTTGCCTTAACAAAGTCTGATATATTTACAGAATACCAGTATCTTGTCAGCAATTGATGATATCCAGCTTTTGCTTGATGATCACATTGTTAAAACACAGACAATGTGTGGCTCTCCGTTCATCAAACCGATAGAAACTGAATGCCGGGTAAGAGGAAGCTGGTTCGATTGAGTTAATACAGCTCTCATAATATGCTTTTCTCAAGTGCTTTGTGGTATTTTGGCATGAGAAGATGTTAAAATATAAGCTTGAGCTGTTTCTAAAGAATTCAAATATTCATATTGTATTTTCAAAGAGCACTGAGCTACTGGTTTCCAAAGAAGCATATGCAAAGCTTGCCAGTACGCTGAAGGAAACTGTAATTGCATAGACAAGCCATTTTATGCATTTTTTTTTAGTTGTTTTATATTTTGGGAATAGGTCAGTTGCTTTAAACAAATTCTGCTAAGTTGTGTAATGAGTATTTATTTGGGTATGCCCAAATAAATCTGTTAGTCTTTAAGGTGCCACCGGACTCCTTGTTGTTTTGATGAAACAAAGCCCTCCTACAAGTAATTCATTGATGGAAAGAGGAGTTAAATATAATGATTTCCCTAAAGGAAGCTTCCACAGAAAACAGACTTTTCCCATCAATATTTGATGATAATTTGAAGGCTTTTCTAACCTAATTCTCATGACTTGTCAACACTTCTAAACCCTTACTTCCATCCATTAGGACCTTGGCCCTGATCCTAGCAAGTGCTGAGGGCAGTGGGAGCAAATGCTATTTTAATTTATAGCCACCTGTAACAGTCCCCAAAGGGCTGTATGGCAGGTGGCGATTGCTAAAACATAATACAGTCTGGCTACACCTCTTCCCATAATACATTCCTGGCATACCCCTTACAAAGGGATCTGTGAGAGGGTTTGGCAAGGAAATAGTGCCCAGTCCTCCTCATCTTACTCAGGCAATGCACCCATTGACTTCAGTGAACAATTTGGCTGTCAGCAGTGTAATATTGGGTCAAAGTTAATGAATATTCAGATATTTATTGTGTGTCTGGAGCAAAATTCAGAAGATCTCTATGTTTCTCCATTCTTTTTAAATCACATCATTGTTTTGTTGATAAAGACTAATTTTGAGGGTGTAAAATAATGTGCTACTCTGCCCACATGGCTTGTGTCATTTCATTGTCAAAATTATTTCAGGGGGTCTTATCTGATGCAAGAGACTGATTATTTTCGCAACAAACAAAGGGATTTTAGTCGTTAAGTTACAATTTCATTGTAGTTTGCGATGTTGTCATAGCCATGCTGGTCCCAGGATATGAGGGAGACAAGGTGGGTGAAATAGTATCTTTTACTGGACCATCTTTTATTGGAAATACAGTATTCTAAAGATTACCCTGGAAAACTCATATGCCTCCTTTGATGTGGCTGTTGAGTTCTTTTTGTAAATGTACGGTATTTGCTACTTAAAGGATTTGACTAAACTTTAACTTGGCTGCCTAATAAGAGTAAAAACAGAGGTATGTTGTACAAACCAAAAAAAGTCCATTTATAGAGTGTATCTCTGAACATATCCAGAGGCAGTCACTCATGACTAAGAACAATACTTTCATTGAGAGCTTTAAAACGGTGGTGTTTATCTCCTGAAATGAACTAATTTACAGTCATACAGATAAAAAGTCCAATCTTGTGACCTTACTTACATGAGTAGTCCTTCACACAAGTAGTGCCAGTGGGACTGCTTATATGAATAAGTAATAAACACATGAGTGAAAGATGCATGATCAGTCCATGGTTTGTTTTTTGTTTTTTTTAAAAAGTAGTTCTTTCAGACAAGAGTACAATATTATAGGAAAAGCTCTTAGGGTGGTTTGTTTTCAATCTCACATATACTGATAACAAAGAACTGTAACAGAGAAAATGTTGCATTAAAATAAGTAATTATCTGATATTTTACCCTCTGTTTATTCTGCTACTCAATGTACAGTTTAAAACCATTGTTTGCAGACCATATGTGTTAAATGTTCTGTTTACAGGCATGGGAAGAGAAGCTTGTTTCAATGCAAGATATTTTAGATAGCTGGTTAAAATGTCAGGCAACATGGCTTTACCTGGAACCAATTTTTAGTTCAGAAGACATTATAGCTCAAATGCCAGAAGAGGGCAGAAAGTTTGGAATAGTAGACGCTTACTGGAAAGACATCATGGCACAAACAGTAAGTATTTGCATTTAATAAAGTGAAAAATATATTTATTTATATTTCATCAAATTAGTTTTAAGTAAGAGAATTTGTCTGCTTATCCAGAGTCAGAGACTCAGATTTCGGTCATTGGAACATAGAACACAGAGTCCAAAACACCGTTAATGCCTTGTCTTTTAGCAAAAATTGTAGGTAAGATTACCTACCCTTTTGAGATTTCTGTAGAATCTAGACATCACAGAATAAATTACAGCTGATCTTTTCACATTAAAAAGGAGTGTAATAACAGAGAGCAAACACAACTCTGAGGACAAGCACAGAAGAAGATAAATGTAGGGTGCTACAGGTGCATTTCATAGGACTTGCACTCCTGTTTGTGAATGAACAAATGACTATAAACTGGCTATCCTTAGGCTTGAAATTAGACAAAGGTTTCTAACCATCAGAGGAGTGAAGTTCTGAAACAGCCTTCCAAGGGAAACAGTGGGGGCAAAAAAACCTAACTGACTTCAAGACTGAGCTTGATAAGTTTACGGAGAGGATGGTATGATGGGACTGCCTACGATGGCATATGGTCCCTTGGCAACTGTCAGTAGCAAATATCCCCAATTGCTGGAGACAGGATACTAGATGGGGAGGGCTCCGAGTTACTACAGAGAACTCTTTCCAAGGTATCTGCTTGGTGTGTCTTGCCCACATGCTCAGGGTCTAACTGATCGCCATATTTGGGGTCAGGAAGGAATTTTCCCCAGGTCAGATTGGCTGAGACCCTGGGAATTTTTCACCTTCCTCTGCAGCGTGGGGCACGTGTCACTTGTACTATAAATGGTGAATTTTCTGTAACTTGAAGTCTTTAAACCATGATTTGAGGACTTCAGTAACTCAGCCGGAGGCTAGGGGTCTGTTTCAGGAGTGAGTGAGGTTTTGTGGCCTGCAATGTGCAGGAGGTCAGACTAGATGATCACGATGGTCTCTTCTGACCTTAATGTCTATGAATCTGTGAGTGCTGCAAGCCCAAGGCACAGATGAATGTGCATATAAATAGCAATTTGCTCTCCAAATCAGTATATATTTGAAAAGATACTAATACCTATGGATGTGATCCTGCAAATTTTTTCACCGGTTACAATATTGTTGGTACTGTTTAATCTGCACAAAGCAATGGTCTTAAACATCAATAACTGTCAAATACTGCATATATATTTTCCTCATGTGAGGACATTCAACAAAACAGTTTCTAACTTTCCATGCTCTGTAACATATTCTGTAGCCTTCGTTATCATGAAATAAAAATGAAACAAACTGACAAACCAAATGTGAACTTTTTAGCAGTTTCTACACTGTGTTTCTTTTTATAAAGGTGAAAGACACCAGGGTACTCGTAGCAACTGAGCAACCCAGGATGCTGGAGAGGCTTCAGGAAGCAAATGTTCTCTTAGATGATATCCAGAAGGGGCTGAATACTTATTTGGAGAAGAAAAGATTATTTTTCTCACGGTAAATTGATTAACAGGTTCAACTTAGAGCAGCAAGAACCATAAAAAGATTCTAATGCTCTCTTTGTTTGAAATAATTTTTACTGAGTTGGGTGACTTGTAGTTGTCACAGAACACAGTTCTATGCAACCAAAAATGACAACCTATTTCCCTTTCTAGAAATGTAGCCCAGATTCCCTGGTCCAGCTGAGCTATGCTTGGCCCAAGATTTGAGGGGGCAGGGAGGCAAAGGTGTCTTAGTGCAGCAGGAACTTGCAATGGAAAATACATCATCAGTTACAGTGTATTTTCAGGGGAACATGCCATCTTCAGCAGCTGATTGCACCCCCACCTATCGCTCCCTAAGCTATGCCCTACTCAGCTGCACAGAGGTGAAGTCCCATGTAATTGCCCCGGAGGGTCTAAAGATTACCAGGTGATGGTGGAGAACAGGCTGTGTGCTACCTTTACAGTGTGCATGGCTGTCCCCCAAACCTGATTAGATTTTTCTCCCCTCTGTTTTGCATAAGGGGATGAATGTGACAACTGGCATGTAAAAAGGTGTAATAGTTTTATAACTTTTAAAACTGCTCCATAAGTCCAAAGATCAAAGACTCACATGAACCCAGAAGTTCTTGAGAATAGTGCATTCCTCAAATCAGAGCAGGTAACTTCCTTTTTGTGATAAGTCTTTCTTACTTTAAGAGTTGGAGCAAATCCACACTCCTGGCATATAATAGCTTCTCAGATGATGAGTTTCATGCCTGAAAACTGCATGTGCATTGTCTTTTCAATAGGTTCTTTTTCCTGTCTAATGATGAGCTGCTTGAGATTTTGTCAGAAACCAAAGATCCCCTTCGAGTACAGCCACATTTAAAGAAGTGTTTTGAGGGAATCTCTAAATTAGAGTTTACAGAAGATCTGGAGATCACAGGAATGATCAGTTCAGAGAAAGAAACTGTTCCTTTCATACAGAAAATCTATCCAGTGAAAGCAAAAGTAATTTTTTTTCTCTTATGACATTACATGAATAGCTGATGGTAAAGGATGTGCTTTTGGGGAAATGAGCTTTAAAATACCAAGACCAGATTTTTAAAGGTATTTAGTTATCTAAAAATGCAGATAGGTGCCTACTGGGAGTTTTAAAAAGGAGTTAGGCACTTGGGCGGTGTTGAAAATTCTGTAGGTACCTATCGGGAGTTTTAAAAAGGAGTTAGGCACTTGGGCGGTGTTGAAAATTCTGTAGGTGCCTATCTGCATCTTCAAGCATCTAAATACCTTTAAAAATTTGGCCCTTAGAACATAACTAAGATACCACATCACAGCTGTAACAAGGAATGAATGAAAATATTAAAGGTACCAGTATAGGATTACAGCCTAGCCTTGTGGTCAAAAGGTGGCACAGTGGAGGTAGCAGCATGTAACAAGTTGAAGAAGCACTCTGCCTTCCTCAGGGCAGGAAGCCACACATGAGGCCAGAGTACAGAGCACACTGCTGCTCTTCTGCATTGTCCCTTGGGGGTTAGGGGTGGCCAAAGGCTAAGTGAAACAGGAGAGAGGCATGGCCAGTGTGGAGAATGGCATGAAAACACAGGGAAGGCCTTGTGGATTTCAGACTATCCTTCAGCATCGCTGTGCCTTCCCCACAACAATAGCAGCGTGGCTCAAACAGATGCCTTGTCATTAGCTGCTCTCCTCATCCCCGTGTGTGGCCACAGCCCCTTTGGGGATGGTGGGAGGTGGTAGACTGAGAGGAGTTACTGCTGTTGCTAAGAGCAACAGTAACTTACACTATATATATGTAATAAGGCGTTATAATATGAATTAAATGGATGAAATTCCCTCACCTGTGTTATCCAGGACTGGAGGCAGGACTAGATGATCTAATGGTCTCTTCTGGCCTTACAATCTATGAATCTATAGGTTTTGTAGAAACTTGACATAATGAGTGGCTGATTCTTCTGCCTCTCCTCGGCCATGCCCCACTAAATTGTATGGAGCTGAATTCCTATGTGGCAGCCATGAACAGGGGTAAAAGGTGGGGGGTGAAAGATAGGGGATATTCTATTTAGCAACCTTTTAACCACATCTTTCAGGAACAATGTGTTCACTGGTGTTATGGCCATGTTAAATTGACCTCCCAGAGCTGCATTTACACTACCTGGATGTATGGACACCATGCTGCCCCTTCAGATGCACTGCTCATGCAGTGCACATGGCTTATTTGTCTGTATGCACTGTTGTGCTGCAGTCATGCCTTCATTGTGTACACCAGTGCTTGTACATCTATTTGGAGGCTGTCCACCCATTTTCTTCCTTACCCACCAGAGCAGAAAAAGGCATGAGCCAGCCTTTATGCTTTAAGCCTAATATAGTCAAAGATTTACTCCAGTGTGAAATTTGCTCTTTAAATGCCATTTTATTTGGTGTATTTTCACTCTTCTCTCTTTTTCTTGTTTTAAGGGCATGGTAGAGAAATGGCTTTTGCAAGTAGAGGAAATGATGTTGGCCAGCATAAGACAAGTTATTCAAGATGGCATTGGAGGATATGTTCAAGTAATTACTCATCTCTTCCGTATCAATAAATTACAGCATAAAGTAATTAACATAAAGTAACCTGCACATGTACAGGGCTCAAACTCTCCTTTACCATGATGTTAGGTTTTAAACTAAGTAGAATCCTGTTGTGCTAATTCAGCAGCATCCATTAAAAGTCTCAGATCTAATTTCCTTGAAAGAAAATTAATGAAGTTCTCAGTGTTGAGTGCCGTTTATTTTATAAATCAGATTGAAAAGCATTAGGGAAAATAGATTTTATTATTGACAAAGCCTAATGCATACACATCATTTTCTCTATCTCAAGTGTGATTTTTTTTTTAAAGGTTCCCCGAAATAAGTGGGTACTTCAGTGGCCTGGACAGGTGGTTATTTGTGTTTCATCCATCTACTGGACAAAGGAAGTGTCTGAAGCTATGCAATCAGGAACTTTACTTGTAAGGTTTTCTTGTAAATTCTTTTAATTAACCAAAGACTAAATTATGATATTACAAAGTACTCTAACAAAGTGACATGCATTTCTGAAAGCATACATTCTGACTTTTCTACTTAAGTTAAATCGTGGCAGAATATCCTTTAACTCAGAGTGCTTTGCAATTTCCACTTTTCTTGCTGTTCACTTTTGTCATTCATCTGCTTTGTTTTCTCTTTTTACTTTGCATTCAGTCATGTTGTATATTTGTCTTACGTCTCAGCAGCAACTATTTCTCTATCATTATGGACACTGATTTTGATTTCACTTACCTTGCTGTAAATCAGGAGTAACTCCACTGAAGCAAGTTGTGGACTCTTATTCTTGTGTCATAGAGCTTTGCAATTGTGAAAAGAAGAATCAAACAAAAGTTGAAAACTATGACCAGATCTTATAAATAGTTACTCCTCTATGCATGCTTACCCCCCTAGTCTCATGGGAACTACACACAGGAGTAGCTGTTTGCAGGATCAGGTGATTACACAGCTCTTGTGGCTCCTAGCTTCTCTGTAGAATAAAGATGCATTGGCTAGGTTTGATAGTTGAATGTTATTCTTCCCTCAAGTGTTTGCAATTCATCCATCATCCCATGGTCTTGTGTATTACCCCATTGGGGACTGATCTAAAGCACACTAAATAATGGAAAGACTTTCTGTTGACTTCAGTGGGCTTTTGATTGGACCCTAGTAGAGTTGGGTAAATACTGCAACATTTTTTCCCTGTGATTATTTACATGAATTTTTAAAGGAATTTGCTTCGACTGTGTGCCCCTTCTTTGTTCACTTTCTGGAGCTGCTCTAGCAAATGGCAGGGATTTTCATGAAAACAGAAAATTTTTAAATAGTTACTGCAGCAGAGACCAGATTCTGATGCTTGTACTCATCCACTCAGGACACAAAAAGTACCTTGGCTTCAATTAAGCTATGCTGATTTACTGCAGCTGAGGATCTGAACCCATGTGCCCAGTCAAAACAGGCTGAGTTTAAAATGCTTGCAAAAAAATCATCAGTGATCCATGGACCAAAATTATTAGTAGAAATAAAAGAGTAAATTCAGGAAAATATTACATTTGCTGAATAACTATTTATTACAAAAAATGTCATCCAGCTTTAGACAATAGAGAGAGCATGCATTTCTCCTGGTATAGAGACCTCGCATTTGATTTAGGGAGAAATAAAAGGCTTCCATTTCAGACTGCAAAACCCTTCTGAGTAGTTATGATGAAATAAAACAGCAGTATATGAAGGAGACTCTTAAATGTTTGCATAGTGCCAGGAAGACATTACTAAACTGCCTCATTTTGTTGGAAGAGTTTGTTCTAATGACTGCTCTGGGAGTTTAGGAGCTATTTGCTACAGCTTGCCATTATTACTCACATTTTCTTTCCGTAACAGAAATTCTTGGAGAAGAGCAACCTACAAATTGGAGAAATTGTTCAGTTAGTGAGAGGAAAGTTGTCCAGCGGTGCCCGTCTGACTCTTGGGGCTCTCACTGTCATTGATGTGCACGGTAAATGCATGATTATTACCTCTCTCATTACATTCCAGGCAGAACTGCTACCATTAACTGAGGCAAATTATCTGCAACAGGCATCTGGGATGCTTTCCCAAGCTAAAGTTAAGTCCTGGAGAATTAGTTAAAGGATTATATTAATTATTTTCATCTGCTAATTCACATGAGACAAAAGCTAGTTGTAAATGCCAGCCTTAGGCATGAGCAAGATAACTAATGGTTTGAGCATGTAGCCTGAGCAATTCAGAGCAAACTTTATGGGATGCCTAATTTCAGCGCCTCTTAGCAGTGGTCGCCATTTCAGATTTTGGTAGCGAGGTGCAACTTTAACCGTATTTCCTGGAGCTACTTAGGCATGTGAAAACTCTAGTTTTTTGGCAGATAACTTAGCAGTTAGCTGACAGGAGCCCTGTATCTAATTCCTTTATAAGAGAAAGACAATTAAATAAATATTAGACCCACTCAGCTCTAATAATGTGTTCTGACATCTTGTGGCAAGTCACTTAAGGGACGTTGGTTAGGTTTAAAATGTTAATGTATATTCTTACTTTATTACTAACTCTGTGGAGAGAGAGAGACCCCATCAGGATTGCTGGGTTCTATCTCAGCTCTGAGAGGAGAGCGAGGTCTAGTGCAGGGGTTCTCAAACTGGGGGTCGCGAAGTTATTACATGGGGGGTCGCAAGCTCTCAACCTCCACCCCAAACCTGGCTTGCCTTCAGCATTTATAATGGTGTTAAATATATTAAAAAGAGTGTTTAATTTATTAGGGGGGTCCCACTCAGAGGCTTGCTGTGTGAAAGGGGTCACCAGTAAAAAAGTTTGAGACCCACTGATCTAGTGGGAAACAACTGGGAGCAGATACATCTGGGTTCTATGTAAGAACATCAGAATGACCATACTGGGTAAGACCAATGGTCCATCTAGTCCAGTATTTGGTCTTCCAGCAGTGGCCAATGCCAGGTGCCCCGGGGGAAATGAACAGAACAGGTAATCATCAAGTTGCCCTGTTGCCCACTCCTAGCTTCTGGAAAACAGAGGCGAGGGACATGCAGAACATGGTGTTGGATCCCTGCCCACCGCCTAATAGCCATTGCTGGACCTATGCTCCATGAACTTATCTAGTTCTTATTGGAACCCTGTTATAGTTTTGGCCTTCACAACATCCCCTGGCAAAGAATTCCACATGTTGACTGTGAAGAAATACTTTTTTTTGTTTGTTTTAAATCTGCTGCCTATTAATTTTATTTGGTGACCCCTAGTTCTTGTGTTATGTGAAGGAGTAAATAACATTTCCTTATTCATTTTTTTCACACCATTTGTGATTTTATAGCCCTCTATCATATCCCCCCTTAGTCATCTCTGTTCCAAGCTGAAAAGTCCCAGTCTTTTTAATCTCTCCTCATACAGAAGGTGTTTCTATACCCCTAATCATTTCTATGGCCCTTCTCTGTACCTATTCAAATCCAATATATATTTTTTGAGATGGGGTGACCAAATCTTCACGCTCTATTCAATATGTTGGCGTATCGTGGATTGATGTAGAGGTAATATGATCTTTTTTTCTTATTATCTGTCCCTTTCCTAATGATTTCCAATATTTGATTTGATTTTTTAAATTGCAACTGCACATTGAGCAGATGTTTTCAGAGAACTATTCACAATGACTCCAAGATCTCTTTCTTGATGGGTTCAGCTAATTTAGACTCCATAATTTTATATGTGTAGTTGGGATTATATTTTGCCAAGTGCATTACTTTGCATTTATCAACATTGAATTTCTTCTGCCATTTTGTTGCCCACTCACCCAGTTTTGTGAGATCCCTTTGTAATTCTTCGGATTCTGCTTTGGATTTAACTATCTTGAGTAATTTTGTATTATCTGCAAATTTTACCACATCACTGAGTACCCCTTTTTTCAGATCATATATGAATATGCGGAATAGGACTGGTCCCAGAACAGACCACTGTATGACACCACTATTTACCTCTCTCCATTCTCACCTTTTATTTCTACTCTTTGTTTCCTGATTTTTAACTGAAGTGCCTAGCAGTGCTTTCAGGATCATCTAATGATCCTTAATTTACTTAATCACCTTGCCTCTGTTTATAAACAAACTCCCTGCCACAAAGGCTGTGCTGCTCCCAGCTTCTGAACTCCTCACATATCACACTCGTCTAGGGCTAGGATGAGTAGACCTCCCCTAAGAAACTCGGGGGGGCGGGGGGCTAGAGCCCTTCCATGCCCCCCAAATGGCGTCCCTGTTTCTTAGACCAATCTCCTTTCCCCTTCCAACAGCAGAACTGATGGGGGAGGCAACTCAGCTTCATGGGGAACAGTGGGCTGGATTTTCCAGTCCAGTGTGCTACCATGCACTATTCAAGTGGGCCAGAGTGGTTGTATTCTGTCTGGAGGTGTCCAGTTGAGAATTCTCTTTGCATGTGGGAATTCTCCACTGGTGTCAGACTGGCGGGAGCAGCATAGCTGCCTTCTGTACTAGTTGCCCTCCTACCTCTGGTGTAGGGAAAAGGAGGTGGCCCTGTGGGGGCTGGGAGAGGGTATGCTGGAGTAGAACTCTGCTACACCCATCCTTCACCAGCATACATCAGAGCATCTCCTTAGGTAGTGCAGAATAAGGGAGCTGTGACTGGATCCCTGATGGCTCCTACCCTCACTTCTGTACTAAGTGGAGCTCTGGCCCAGGGGACCCAGAAAGGGTAAACTGGTCCCAGTGAAATGTTACAGTTATAAATACATTGATAGATATGTATAAACAAGTATTATAGTGATGACCCGGGATCCGAGAAATACATCTTTAGTTTTATATTGTGGCTAGGGAAACTAAATTTCAGCTTTCATTTTAATTGCGGAAAACCGTGGATTTTTATGTTTTTTTTTTATCGGAGGATTTTGGTTTTTTTTATCACAGAAGACTAGGATCCCTGGTGACGACATGCATGGTTCAACAGTAAGGTGTGGCTTGGGTTAGCTGTTAATCATTGGTTGCTATTTCACTGTTCAGTCTACCAACTCTACAATATGGTGCCTGTCCAGTTTTTACGGTTTTTTTTTTCCCATTTTGAGATTCTGGCCTAAACGCTGGTACTAATTCTTCTTTTTTCTGTTTGACCAAGGATAAATTTGAACTGGATTCCAAGAAAGAAATGCAGCACAGCTGTTGAGAAATATAGTATTGCTAAATGTGATATTACAGCTGTAACTGAAAAAGATTGCAGCCCAATTCTGTGTTATATGTCCTTCCATAAAAATATTCTTTTAACCCCATAAAATTTCTGTTTATGTTGCTAGACCATCTCCTAGAGTAAAATAGCAATCACGTCACTTTTTAAATTAACAAATAATGTTAAGACCACATTGTGTTGGAAAAAATCTAAGCACCTTTATTCTTGGATGCTTGCAACCTCTGCTGAAATTCTTTTCAATTACTCAGCTCAATGCAACTTTGATCTACTAAACTTGTTTATTGTGTGCAACATACAAGGAAACGGAGAGCAACAAGAATCAGGTTCTTAAAATTACTATTTAAACACCAAAGCTAATGGAACTCTGCCAGTTTATAACATCCCCATACTTTTAGGGAAAAATTCCGGACTTGCCTGGCTTATAGGTCACAGCAGGAATCAGCCTTTAGTCAGGATTTTGACCCTAACATCTTGCATGTAACCTCGGGCACTGCTTTTGGTGTGACTTTACAATACTCATGTCCACCTGGTTTCATCATAGAATAACACAAGCATGTAGGGACAAAATCGGAAACCTGAGGCACCAAATGAGTTACATCTAGCAAGGGACATAAAAGAGAATAAGAAGAGGTTCTATAAATACATTAGGATCAAGAGAAAGATGAGAGAAAGCATAGGTTCTCTACTTAGTGGAGGAAGAAGAACTAATAACAAACATCAAGAAGGGTGAGGTGTTTAATGCCTATTTTGCTTCAGTATCACTAAGGAGGTTAATTATGGCTAGTTGCATAACAATTAATATAACAACCAGGGGGAAGGGACGCAAGCCAAAATAGGGAAAGTCCAGGTTAAAGAGTATTTAGATATATTCAAGTTGGCACGGCCTGATGAAATTAACCCTAGGATACATAAGGAACTAACTGAGGCAATCTTAGAACTGTGAGCAATTATTTTTGAGAACTCAGAGAATGGGTGAAGTCCCAGAGGACTAGCGAAGGGCACACTATCTTTAAAAAGGGGAACAAAGAGGACCCAGGGAATTATAGACCAGTCTACCTAATGTCAATATCTGGACAGATACTGGAACAAATTATTAAACAATCAATTTGCAAGCACCTAGAGGATTATAGGCTTAGAAGGAATAGCCAGCATGGATTTATCAAGAACAAATCATCCCAAACGAACCTAATTTTCTTCTTTGACAGGGTTACAAACCTACTGGATAGTGAGGAAAGCTGTAGATGTAAAATATTTTGATTTTAGTAAGGCTTTTGACACAGGTCCACATGACATTTTCATAAGCAAACTGGGGAATTTTGGTCTAGATGAAATTACTATAAAGTCGGTATACAACTGATTGAAAGAGCATACTCAAAGGATAATTATCAATGGTTTGCTATCAACCTGGAGGGGATGTATGGAGGGATGTATCTAATGGGGTTCCGCAGGGGTCTGTCCTGGGTCCATAACTATTTCATATTTTCATTAATGACTTGGATAATGGAGAGGAGAATATGCTTATAAAATTTGTGGATGACACGAAACTAGGAGAGGCTGCAAGCCCTTTGGAAGACTGGATTAGACTTAAAAATGACCTTGGCAAATTGGAGAATTGGTCTGAAATTAACAAGATGAAATTCAGAAAAAACACCTAAGAAGCAAAAATTAAATTCACAACTACAAAATGGGGGATAACTGGCTAGGCAGTAATACTGCAGTAAAGGATCAGGGTTATAGTGGACCATAAATTAAATTTGAGTCAACAATGTGATGCAGTTGTAAAAAAGGTGAGTGTCATTCTGTGGTGTATTGTCAGGAGTGTCATATCTAAGACACAGGAGGTAATTGTCCTGCTTTACTTGGCACTGGTAAGGCCTCAGCTGGAGTATTATGTCCAGTTTTGAGCACCCCACTTTTAGAAAGATATGGAGAAATTGGAGAGAGTCCAGAGGAAATGAAACAAAAATGATAAAAGGTTTAGAAAACCTGACTTATAGGGAAAGTTAAAAAAACTGGGTATCTTTAGTCTTGGGAAAAGACGACTGAGGAGAGACCTCATAACAGTCTTCTAATATGTTAAGGGCTGTTATAAAGAGGATGGTGATAAATTTTTCTCCATATCCACTGAAGGTAGGACAGGAAATAATCAGTAATATGCAGCAAGGGAAATTTAGGTTAGATCTTAGGAAAAAATTTCAAACTATATGGATAATTAAGCAGTAGAATAGGCTTCCAAAGGAGGTTGTGGAATCCCCATCATTGGAGGTTTTTAAAAACAGATTAGACAGATACTTGTCAGGGATGGTCTCAGTTTATTTAGTCCTGCCTTAATGCAAGGGGCTGGACTAGATGACCTCTCAATGTCCCTTCCAATTGTACATTTCTAGGATTCTGACTGTGCTTCTGATTGCTAACCCTAGGCAAAGCTAGGTAAAAACCAGTTTACAGTTCCTGATATTGCTCTACAAGTAGACTATGTGACACACAATGTTGCTTTTCAGCAGTAGAGTTGCTAGCAGAGACCCAGAAATGTAAGGAAACCTAGTGATAGTATATATGTAATAATATGTGATGCCAGTAGGAGTTCCAAGTGCAGATTGAGTGGAGTTTACAAGATCCTTTATTTTCAGATATAGTTGACTCTTTTTGAATTTGTGGATAACATGCCAACAAAGGAAGAGCTTTCTATCCAGGGGCAAATCTAGCATCCGCCTTTGTGGCCATAGAGGGCCACAGTGGCATTCTGTTGTGCAAAAAATGGGGGCTGGAGAATGGGGAGCTGTGGAGCAGGTGTACGTCTCCTGTGTGGTACAGAGCCTTGCTGTGAGCAAGCATTCTCATTTACAGGGAGCAGAAAGGCATGGGTGACCTGGGGGAGGGGTGAAAGAGACCTGTCACTGTACAGATCCTTGCATATTTCCTGGGTATGGGGGATGCAAGTGTCCTATATAGGTTTATTCAGCCACTGGTCTTAAATGGCCTTTGTAGAGTGATTGTACTCCTCCACCCCTGCAGAGCTCCCCAGCCCCTGGCCTGGCTACTCATGTTGGGCACTGGGGTCTAGAATTTTGCCCAATTGAACAAAGATGGTTCATTAAGCAAAATGGATGCAGTTTCCTTTTGAAAAATGAAAGCTGAGCTACAGCTGTAAATGTTAGCTTACTGTTTATTTTATGAGCTGTTTCTGTTCCTGCAGCTCGTGATGTGGTTGCAAAATTGGTTGAGGACAAAATCACAGATCAGAATGATTTCCAGTGGATTTCTCAGTTGAGATATTACTGGGAAAAAGGAGATGTAATGGTGCGAATGATTACGACAGAAGCCAAATATGGCTATGAGTACCTTGGCAATTCTCTACGTCTGGTTATAACTCCACTGACTGATCGATGCTATAGGTAAAATTCATATTCTCTATGACCGTAGCATTCACTTTCTAGCTGACTTGTATTTAATACATATTGTAACAGTTGCTAATGAAAAGAGCCTCAGTTATTAATTTTCTTTCCTCCCCTTCCTGGTTTTTTATGTTCTGCTGTAGTGCCACAGTGTGGACATTTTCTATAGTGTTGGAAGGGGTTTTTCCATCAATGTAGTTAAACCACCTCTCTGAGAGGCCAGAGCTTGGGCGATGGAAGAATTCCTCCATCGACCTAGCCATATCTACACCAGGTGTTAGGTCAACCTAACTACAGAGCTCAGGGCATGTAATCTTTCACAGCACTGAGTGACATAACTAGATCCCTCTAATTTTTAAGTGTAGATCAGCTCTTAGATGTACGTGCCCAGACATGGTAGAATATTTACAATGTGCAGATTCCTAGGCCTCTACTGTAATTTCTTCTTCTGCATCCAAGAATGTGATTCTAAAAAAAAAACTTAGCAGCTCTATTTAATGGAATTGTGGAAGACTGTGTGTAGTTGAATTAATTTCTTTGAAATAAAATATATATGTAGGGTGTATCTGGCTTTTAAATAAATGAGGCAATTATGGAGCATTCACAGATGTCTGACTGCAGTTAGTTTCTAATTCCTCTACTTGCTTGCAAGAGGCTGAAATGGAAATACTCCAGGGGGATTTGGTATTTCGCTTCTAGCTTGCCCAGGAGCCAGAAGCCATCTCAGCAGTTAATTTTAGGTCTGTAGGTTAAAGAGCTTTCCCTAGAATTCCTCTGGACAAATTTATAGTCCACAAGGCTCGACCAGTGAGGAGGTAAGAGAGGAGTTATGAATTCAGTCACCTTTGTGTTATAATCAAGTTCTTCCATTACACTGCTCTACATCCAAAATGCTTCTGAAATAAATGTAGTCAAACTTTACTAATTCTGGGTCACTGAGAACGAAAATGATGCTTAAAATT